TTTTTTTTTTTTTTTTTAATGAGAGTCTCACTTTGTCACCCTCTGTTGAGTGCCATGGTGTCAGAGCTCACAGCAACCTCCAGCTCCTGGGCTTAAGTGATTCTCTTATCTCAGCCTCCTGAGTAGCTGGGACTATAGGCCCCTGCCACTATACCCAGCTATTTTTTTTGTTGTTGCAGTTTGGCCAGGGCCAGGTTTGAACCCACCACCCTTGGCAAATGGGACCAGCACCCTACACTCTGGCCACAGGCACTGCCCTGGGCTCATTCTTTAAATTGTTGGTATGTGGCAGGTATTTTGTCAGGAGTCTAGAACATCCTTCTTCTTTACTAGCCTGGAGAATGCCTTTCCACGCTTCACAAACATAAGGACCCCTATACTTCTTTGCAGCCCAACCACTGTTTTGCCTATCCAAGGAAGGCTTCCTTCACTCCTTTCCTTTCTTTCCCTCTTTACCAACAAACCCCCTACATACTTCTTTTGTCTCATGCTGTACTCCCTGATGGTATACAGCCATGCAAGGTTGGTTAGTTAAGGGCCTGGCAGCCTCTGCTGCATTCAGCTAGCTGAGTGCCATGCCCTCAGCTTACCTCACAGCAACCCCTGACTCCTGGGTTCAAGTGATCCTCCTGCCTCAGCCTCTTGAGTAGCTGGGACTAAAAGCACCCACCACAATGCTTAGCTATTTTTTTCTATTTTTAGTAGTGACAGGGTCTTGTTCTTGCTCAAGCTGGTCTCAAAATCCTAAACTCAAGGGATCATCCTGCCGAGAGTGCTAGGATTACAGGTGTGAGTCACCACATCTGGCCAGCTGCACTTATTACGAACAAAGGTTTATGGTGGGCACTGGGGCTACAATGGTGCACAATATATGGTCCCTTCAAATCCTACGATCAAGGTTTGAATGCTGGAGACAAAAGAGAAAAAGATTCAGATTGAAGTCTACAGGAGCCTGTGGCATACGAGCACAGGCATCATTAGCTGGGGAAATCCTAAATATGACACTTGGATCTGGGTTTTTAAAGGACAGAAAGCATTGGCAGAGGGTTCTTATGATACCCTACTGTCTGTAGGGCCACATTTAATTTGGAAATTCTACTTTATGCCAGGGTAAGATTACCAGCTTTGCCAAATAAAAATAGAGGGCACTCAGTTAAATTTGAATTTCAAATAAGCAACAAATAACTAATATACATATGTTTCATGCAATACTAATACTTGGGACATACTTTTCTAAAAGATAATTTGTTGGGGCTGGGCATGGTGGCTCACACCTGTAATCCTAGCAGTCTGGGAGGCTGAGGCGGGTGGATTGCCTGAGTTCATGAGTTTGAGACCAGCCTGAGCCAGAGCAAGACCTCATCTCTAAAAATAGCCAGGCGTTGTGGCTGGTGCCAGTAGTCCCAGCTACTTGAGAGGCTGAGGCAAGAGAATCCTTAATCCCAAAGAGTTTGAGGTTGCTGTGAGCTGTGATACCACAACACTACTGAGGGCAACAAAGTGAGTCAGTGTCTCAAAAAAATAAATAAAATAAAATAAAATTAGCTGGGTGTTGTGGCCTGTAGTCCCAGCTACTTTGGAGGCTAAAGTAAGATAATCACATGAGCCCAAGAGTTTAAGGTTGCTGTGAGCTATGATGCCACAGCAACAAAATGCAACTGTCTCAAAAAGATAAATAAAATATAATTTATCTGAAATTCAAATTTAACAAAGCATTCCATATTTTATCCTGCAACCATACTCCAGGGACAATCAGGACTTCTCAAGAGATTATCAGGAGACAATGCCCACCAGCCTACCCTTTCACACCCCACCCCCCACACAGGGCCCTTACCAGAGTACCCCAGATGTCAAGTGGAGGCATCCCTTGGTGCACAAGTCCCACTAGCCCATGGTGGCTAAACTAACTCCCAAGCATAAATTTAAGCTCCTTCACTACCATAAAACAAACACTGCCAGAGACCCCACAATGCCCCAGGCTGTAACAACCAATACCCAAGATGCCCCGCGTGAACACAATAGGCATCTATTTGGGAATGCTAGGGCAAGGAAACCAGAGCAAAACCTTATGCGGGGCAATAAGGACCAGTTCCCACAATTCCTTGTGGCAATTCTTCCCGGGATGCCTAGGGCCTATAATGATCACCCTCCAAGATGCCCTGCAGGCAAGCACTCCAGGCTTCCAGGATGTTCAGCGGAAGGTGTGTGACAAAAGGGATCGGTTTCCCAAAGGAGCTAGGACAATCTGTCTCAAAATGCACCAGGCCTGTAACGACCAGCAGACCGACTCCCACAATGCTTTAAGGCAGAGCGCCCGATTTTTCCCGGGATGCCCCAGGGCAGTACAGAGCCGCGTGGAGAGGGGAAAAGAGGGTGAGTCTCGCCCTGGGGCTATCACAACCCAAGACCGCCGCCCGTTCCTCGGTGTCTAGAGCCGTCTCTCCCATCATGCAGTAGGGCCGTAGCGGCCGCTCCCGACATGCCCTGCGCACCCCTGCCGCGGACACTCACCGGTACTGCAGACCCCCTCTCCGGCTCTGCGGTGGCGGTTGCACGCGCCGGCTCTGCGCCTGCGCTGCAAGTAGGGTAGGAGGGGGCGCAGGAGCCTAGGGCGCTTGCGCGGCGAGATGGACCGTTCCTGCAGCACTGCTTGTAGAGGGGCTATCCCAGTCGGGCGGTGGACAATACTCGCGCACGGGATGTGCTTTGTCCCTCGTTGCCCGGATTTACTTGGTACAGTCCGCGGCCTGAAAGAACCAAGAGCTGTAGGGTTCGCGCGTGCGTGCGCAGAGCAGGAATGCGCCTTGTAAATATGGGATGCACTGGGGCTGGAGGGCGCCAACTCAGCCCAGATCCCAGACCGGAGACCTACTTATTTGCATAATCCAAGCGCGGGACAATAGAAGGCCTCCCTCACTGGAAGGAGTGATTTACATATTCTCCGGAGAGGACTTATCCCGGAGCTCAATGATTAGCATATGGAGAGGAGAGCGTCTCAACGCGCCTGCACACTGGGAGTGCAGACTAAAGTGGGTAGCCTTTTTCAGTTGCAGATCAGTTTGCAGAGGGAGTACAAGGGCGAGGACCCCTGCCAACCAGATAAATATTTATTGATCATTTACGTGTCCGGCCTTGTGCTCGTAGGCACTATGATTTATGCGGTGAACTAGACTGATCTTTCCCCTGTCCTCTTGGTGTCCAAAAGGAAGGAGATAACACACCTAATCAGACAATTGCTACCCAGAGGGTCAGACCTAGAGTAGGTGGGGCTTGGAGACACCTGCCCTAGCCTGGGGTTCTGCAGGGTCTTGGTGGTCTTTAAGACAAGTATGAATGGCAGCCTACCAGAATAGGAGTTTTTCTGGCAGAGGAACTGCAAGGGCAAAAGCCTAGAGGCAAAAATAACAAACAAAAACGTGCACGGTTTGATTGAGAAAGTGAAAGCCATTTAGTGTTTCTGGAACAGAACTGGGGAGAAGTCTCCTCTAGGTGATGTTAAAGGGCTGACTCTATACCAAGTATGGGAAGCTATTGCAACATTCCAGTCTTCAGAAAAGTGACTTTATCACATTTTGGCTTAAAACTTTTAAATGTCCCATTGAATTTAGGGAAAAAATAAAAACCAGGGCGGCGCCTGTGGCTCAAAGGAGTAGGGCATTGGCCCCATATGCCAGAGGTGGAGGGTTCAAACCCAGCCCTGGCCAAAAAAAAAATGCACAAAAATAAATAAACAAAAAATAAAAAACCAAACTCTTTTTGTCGTGGTCTCAGAGGCTATACATGTCTGGTCCAGGTTCAGATTTCTTGACTTCGCCCACCACTTTTCTTTAACCATTCCAGCCACACTTCCCCCTCAAACATCTAAATTTCTTCACCATCTCAGGTCTCTGCTCTTGCTGATCCCTTTCCCTAAATATGCTTTTCCCTCTACGCTCAGAATAGTTGCTCTTGTGTTGGCATAGGTGTCAATCTGAGGTACTTTCCCTGATCTATAATAGCACCTCTATATTTGGATGGGGTATAGATAAAGAAGGATTGGTCCTAAGAGGTTGAAAAAACCTTCGCAAAAATTACAAAAATAACAGGAAAATACCTAATCCTCAATTTGCTGGTAACAGTTAAATATCAATCCTATAAATTTACTTGCTGGGCACCTAGTGGATTTGTTTTCACAAACCACAGAGGAGCCGGCAGACCAAAAGGAAATGTAATTTCTTTTTACATTCACCAGCTCCTTCATCTTTTAGTACTTGTTCCATTAAGTCTCAAGCAGTTCCAGAGTGTCTAGGAGCTAGAAGGAACAACGGAATATGTCTGCAACCTTACCAGAGGAAAAGTAGATAGACCAGTTTTCACAATACCTGGTGAATTTGACTACAATTACCTTTTTTTGTCCCCCTCAAATTCAGCTACCCACAGGACCTCAGGGCAAGCATTCTTTCTTTTGGGGGGGTGCCAAGCCCTCTCCCTGCTTTTCTCTCTTTCACCTCTCTCCTTCTAAAATATAAAATTAAACTTATACTCTTACATCCTAATCTTGGTCTAGAGAAATTCTTTTCTCACCTCATATGCAGCACCTACTGAGCTTTCCCCCCAACTTATCAGGTACATGGGACTTCATTGTCCTGTTTATTCCTGTGTATTCCTGTGTGTTTTATGTTTTCCATAGTAACAAGTTAAAACAGAACCCTACACCCACTCACTGTGCATTTTATCTTTTTTTTGAGACAGAGTCTGACTGTTTCTGTCCTCAGTAGAGTGCGTGGCATCCTAGCTCACAGCAACCTCAAACTCTTGGGCTCAAGTGATCCTTTTGCCTCAGTTTTTCATTTTTTAGTAGGGATGTGAGTCTCACTCTTGCTCAGGCTGAACTGAGCTCAAGCAATCTACTCACCCCGCCTCCCAGAGTGCTAGGATTACAGGTATGAGCCACCATGCCCCAGCACTGTGCGTTTTCTCTTAATAGTCCTTATCACAATGTGAATGTAAGTTTCTTTGCTTCTTTGCTCATAGTATGTTTTCTTCATGAAAGCTTTTGGAAGCTAAGAATGGAATCATCCTTTTTCATTTTGGGTCCTCTGTTCCAAGAACAGGATCAAATTTCAGATTAGTACTAAACTATCTGTTATAGCTAACATTTGCCTGTTTTATTCACTATGGACTCTCTAGAACTTTGAGCAGAAGTGGGCACGTAAGAGTTGGGATTTTTTAGACAGAGTCTCACTATGTCGCCCTCAGTGGAGTGAGATGATGTCACAGCTTACAGCAACCTCAAATTCCTGGGCTTAAGTAATTCTTTTGCCTTAGCCTCCTAAGTAGCTGGGACTACAGGCACCTGCCACAGTGCCTAGCTATTTCAGAGACTGGGTCTCACTCTGGCTCAAGCTAGTCTGGAACTTGTGAGCTCAGGCAATCCACCTGCCTCGGTCTCCTAGAGTGCTAAGATTATAGGCATAAGCCACCTCGCCTGGCTATAAGAGGTTATTTTTATTTTTTTGAGACATAGTCTCACTATGTTGCCCTCAGTAGAGTGCTGTCACATCATGGCTCACAGCAGCCTTTAACTCTTGAGCTTAAGCGATTCTCTTGCCTCAGCCTCCCAAGTAGCTGGGACTATAGGTGCCTATCACAACACCTGGCTATTTTTTGGTTGTAGTTGTCATTGTTGTTTGGCAGGCCCAGGCTGGATTAGAACCTGCCAGCTCCAATGTATATAGCTAGCACCCTAGCCGCTGAGCTACAGGCACCGAGCCAAGAGGTTATTTTTTAATCTAAAGTTAGAATGAGACATCTGCAATTTAGATGGATTAATGCAGGCCCTGGGGTAGGAGACTAAAGAGCTTTGACTTGATCTACAGGTGATGGGAAGCTAGGAAAAGATTTTGAACAGGGCAGAGACCGGGTGAAACATAATTGAAATTCCCCTGGAGATGAATGACAACAGTATGGGGGAAGTCAGGGTGAGGGTCCAGGCCATGAGGATCAGAATGGAGATAGGACAGCTCAGTAGCTACCAAAGAGACAGAACTCAATAAATATCTGAGGAAGGAGCCTAGGAAAAACCCCATGTTTCCTGGGAGGGTGGAAATAACTCTTGGTGAGGTCAGGACCCTTTCCTGACCACCAGCAACCATCGCATCCCCCCGTGAAGTAAATTATATTTTACTCCCAAATAAGGCTTTTTTTTTTCTTTTTGAGACAGAGCCTCAAGCTGTCGCCCTGGATAGAGGGTCATGGCATCACAGCTCACAGCAACCTCCAACTCCTGGGCTCAAGTGATTCTCCTGCCTCCACCTCCCAAGTAGCTGGGACCACAGGCACCCACCTCAATGCCTGGCTATTTTTTTTTTTGGTTGCAGCTGTCATTGTTGTTTGGGTGGCCCGGGCTGGATTCAAACCCACCAGCTCAGGTGTATGTGGCTGGTGCCTTAGCCACTTGAGTCACATGTGCCAAGCCAGTCCCAGTTAATCTTTCTTCCTCTTCCTAGCATCCTTTATTGCCCCTTAACAGAACTTTTCTTTTCTTTTCTTTTTTTGGAGACAGAGTCTCATTATGTCATCCTCAGTAGTGCCATGTTGTCACAGCAACCTTAAACTCTGAGGCTCAAGTGATTCTCTTGCCCGAGCCTCCCAAGTAGCTGGGACTATATGCGCCTGCCACAACGCCTGGCTATTTTTTGGTTGTAGCTGTCATTGTTGTTTAGCAGGCCCCTAACCACTGAGTATGGGCTCCCAGTCAACAGAACTTTCCCCCTCTCTCATAACCCATTTTACCAGAAAACCATATTAAGATTCTGAACCCTATCTTCATTCTGAGGGTTCCCATGCATGTTAAAATAAATATGTATACTTTTCTTCTATTGTCATCTGCCCCACGAAAGTGATTTTTCAGCAAACTTTTATGTGACAGGGGCCTTTGCTACCTACAGTTTGGCAAACCTTTGGGGGCCCAGGGGACTTTGTTCCCTACACCCCCACTTAGTTCTCCCTGTGGTGCATCCCTGGGCAGAGGGACAGACACACAGCCACCCCAGGCACTTGTTCTCTCCTCAGTTTAATGGTGGTTAGTGGGATTGCCAAACCCCTCCCCATTCCCCTCCCTGCCCCATACAAAATGTGTGGTTTTTTGTTTTAAACAAGAAAAAGGGGGCAAAAGCCAGGAATGGGGAGGGGGGTGCAATCTGATATTTTCATACAGATTTTTGATTTTTTTTAATATATTATATATAAAACCATAGTGACCACGCATCCCC